AAAAGCAAAACTGAAGCAGAACAGTAGGAGAGGTGTACAGCAGGGAGTCTGGGGAGAAGTAAAAGGAAGGTGAAGGGAGAAGGACCACAGAAAAACAGTTAGTAAAGAGAGCGGCAACAGGACAGTTGTGGAGATGTATTAGAATATCAAAAGAATGAGAGAGGCTGGGTGGAAAAAGACCACCCTGAAGAAGAGGGAATCTTACCTGAAGTCTGCCATCTCCTCTCCATCAAAGATTTATGGGAGGTGGTCTCCTCTCCTCTCTAGTGCTGGTGTGTTAATATGTCATTTTTCTTGCTTCTTTTTAGGTACTTCAGGAAAGCCTTTGTTCTTAGTAGAGAAATCTTGTTAGTTAGGGTTCATGTATGCCTGGGCTTCTGTAACATACTGTATGATTGATCAGCAGGGTGAGGTCTACTACTGACTATTTTGACACTTAGATTGACATTGACACTTAGATCCTGATTGTCCTTTTTCACAGTTTCAGAAAAATAGAGCAATAGTAATTGATAGGGGACTTTCTGTTTATTGATGTTTAACAATATTACAGATTGTTTTTAATTAAGGTACCTTGAAGTTAAGGTAATGATTTTTTTCCCTTGAGAGTTCAATACAAATATGATATCATATTTAAATTGCTTTGACAAAAGCTGGAAAGTTTCTGGGTTTAAATGGTGAGGGAAAGCCATAAAAAACTCAGAGTGATTGTGGGAGTTGAGAAGGAAGTTTTTGGGGTTTAAGTTTTATTTTTTTCTCTATCTCTTTATCTTCGAAACTATTACTTTTCTGGAAGATACAGTTTAGCCAGGAAAAGAAGTGGGGTAGATTGAGCTCAGCAGGGAGATGATGAACTGCAGTGTCAGTATGCTCTAGGAAGGGTGTTGTGAACATCCCTTTTGCCCTGTGTGAAAGTATCTCAAGAGGAAGAACAAGTGATCCTCCCTAATTATGGTGCCTGCTGAAAGTAGGCATTGTGAGATCCTTTTCACCTGGAGGGACATTGGTCAATGTGTGGGTTAAGAAAAAGAAACAGTGAGTTCAGAGGTATTTGAAGGGAAATAGAAAGTATCAGAAATTTAATTGATTCTGGTGTCTTTGATTTCTTGGGAGAGAAGAGAGGAAAAGAGCCCTCTTCTGTTTCAGTACTCAAATTGCTGAACATAATTTTAAAAGAGCACAAGAACAGAGTGTAGCAGTTTTGAAATCTGTGTACTGAGCTTAATAAATCTACAAAGATGCCTTTATACCTCATTTGATATACGTGATCTACAGTATTTTAAAATAATCTGTGTTCAAATTCAACATGACAGGCAACCTCCCTTTCTTACTTTCATCTGGTTTCACATATCAGCATTGAGTCCAGAATAAAAGAATTAGGATTGCTTAATCCACCTCTGAAAATAACAGTCATGTACATCTCCTCTGACTATTTTACTGTTGCTGTGTTTTATGCTGCCTCTCTGCTGCTTAGCACCAAACAGCACACACTGTTAAGCATACCAAGAATAAATTAATTATGCTCTTAGTTTATCATATTCCAAAATACTTTACAACATGTGGTGTGGCAAAGAAACAGCCTGGAGTAATATTTTTGCCTTCTCGCCTTGCCTCAGACTCCCCCCTGCCCACCCACCCACACCCCTTACCTTTTCTTCTGGCTTGGCTTTTTTTCTCAGCTTTGATAACTGCCCATGAGATGTGTTCATTTTCAGTGACGTTGGTCTTTTTTACTCTTTGCTTGGCATGTTTCAGCTAGCTCAACTTAACTGCAAAGACTTAAGATTTATATATATGATAGTGATCACTATTATACATTCTGAGAAAAGTTATAGGGAGGATGCAGGCAAAATTCCTGTTTAAACTACTCATAACTTGCCTTGGGGTTTTTTTGCATGCTTAGAGTCAGTCAGCCAAGGCCTAGAGTAGAAAGATTGGATAAGGAAGAACAAACTTCACCCATTATATTTTCTTTGAGTGTATATGGATTTAATGCTCAGTTGTCTTTTGGACTAATGAATGGTTTTGATTTGTACCAGTCTTCATTACTGGCTTCAAGCTACTTTATGTTTTCTAGAGAACTGCAGTTAAATCAGATTTTGTTACTGTATCAACTCTTTTTTGTTTGCTTTTTTTTTTCAATAAAGAAAACTAAATTAACAATAATAATTTCCTTTGCCTACAACCCTGAATGGGCATATATTGAAAAGTACAATGTAGTATTAAAAAAAAAATCCTGGAGATAAATGAATGGCAGAATAAATAATTTATGCTAATGAAATTACTGCAATTAGTAGTTCCACAATGACCCTTTTAAAAGCCACAGCTGTTAATGTCAGGAAGTGCTGTCACCGCTGACCTTATCATAAGAGAAGGTGACAAATTGAAAATGCAGGGAAGACCAATCCTCAAAGAGGTCTGTTCGGGAACGATTAGTGTTTTCTGAAAACCAGTGTGAATTACAACCAGCTGCTCTCTGGCTCAGCGTGTCTCCCATGCTGTGCCATTTTGTTAAGCTCGATAACAATAGTTATTTTGCCCCATTGAGACAAGTTGTCTCGGGCCACTTCCAGCTCTACCGGAACCCACTTCGTCCCTCACTGATTTACAAATGAGACTGTTGTTAGAGGGCTTTTCAGGGCTGCTGAGTAGAGACCTCTCATAAGGATCATGTGTAAGGAGGTTGTCTTTCACTGGGAAGAGCTGTACTGCAGGGTGCGTATATGTCACAAACAATAAAAAAAAGGAGAAAAAGGCTGAAACACATTTCAGTTGAAAGCTAACTCAAATCTGCATAAAGTATCTATTCCTGCTGACTAGCCTTGCTTTTACAAACAATTTTTTAAAGATGAATTTATGCTACTTTGCTTCAACTAATGATGTTCTGATTTTTTTTTGTTTGTAAAGCAATTTATTTGTTTTCCCTAAATGCAAATCATTCTTTATTTATTTCTTGTTTTAATTTCTGTTTTTGTAATCGTAGGTGAAATAAGTATTCTTCTAAACTAGCTCTTAAAAGTCACAAGAAAATAATGAGTTTTCTTACTGAGAAAAATGGCAAGTCTTTCTGCATCAACCTGACTGTAATATTAATGATGTAGGCTTAAAACATCTAACTGCATCAACAGCCACTCATGAGCAATTTTCCCAAAGTTCCCTAAGCGTTATTGACAATGCTTTGGTAAATTATGTGTGACTTTCCTAAGAGTTGGTGTAGCTCATTTAATTCATATTAATTGATTTTTAGGCTTCCCTTGATTAATTGAACTGTGTTCATCTTGTACAGAATGCAATAAATAATCATTAAAATGAGGGAGATGTGACTCCACAAATTATAAAGTTTAAATATGCTGGAAGTCATAGAGGACAAAATGAAAGTTAGTTACAGTGCTGGAATTAAATGGGTTTTCTAAGTATTTCCCTGTTAATTTCGCATACAGTACTCTTGCTAAGACACGTATATGCATATATTGTAGTAATATGCATGATATATTGTAGTAATATACATGAATAATGTCCTTTAAAACAAAAAAAATTTAATGTTGGGGCTGTCTTATTTCATGTTTATTCTGGGGAAGTATACTCTAATTCAAAGGAGTGTAGTGGTATCTTGTATTTGCTAGCTCAATTCAAAAAATTAAAAGAAGGACCTTTGAACTATAATTCTAGAACTACCTCTCTTCTTGCTGTCAGAGGTAAATAAAGACAGACATTTTATGTCTGCATTTTGCTCAGAAACACATGCCTAAATGACCATCTGGAGCTGTTTTAAATGTGTCTAGCCTGTTTTGATTTTCACAGTGTGTCAAAAGAAATTTCCAGTCTCACAGCTGCATTTTGGTCTCTGTGATGAGAGAGAAACTCCATGTGGAGCTGTGTAGCACCCAGCACAGCCCCCACCCAGGGCCACAGTAATGCTCTGGAGTCCTTACTGCAGTGTGCTGAGATAAGCTTGGAACTAGAGTTATATTTGGTGGTTGGACCCCTGTCTGGCACATGGGGAAGTGTCAACTGTCACAGCTCAGAGTCAATCTGAACTCCATTAAGTTATAACTACTTTTCTGGTCAAATACCCCTTGAAACTGAGAGGTCACTTCAGCACAGAAATGTTGCTGATTTTCTGACATTCAGAAGAACTCCACAGTGGTCTAAATCCTGCCCTCATAACAGTTTGTTAGTTTATCACTGACTTTGACAAGCACAGATAAGCAGGGACTTGTACAACTTCAAAAATCGAAATCATGGTGTCCAGTTCTGTTCAATCTGAAGTTAATGGCAAAAATACAGTTCACTCCAAAGAGGAATTTGATGATATATGAAGTATGTGGGAACCAGTGTGATTACAGCAACCACTCGATTGTGTTTCTTTAACCTATATAGGATTTCTCTTAGACAGAATTTCCAGAGGTGAAATAGAAAATTCATGGGGTTTTATATCTGCATAAAGCAGTATAGTGACTGACTTAATCTTTGCTTTTAGCTTTAGAAGTATATTTCAAAAAATACATAAGTATGTTGAAGCACTGAGCTTTTGTGGTGATGGGAAAGGTTCTTCACCCAGAGGGTGGTCAGGCACTGGAACAGGCTACCCAGGTAAATGGTCATGGGCCCCAAGCCTGACACAGCTCAAGAGGCATTTGGACAATGCCCTCAGACATGTGGTGGGATTGTTGGGGTGTCCTGCACAGGTCTGGGAATTGGACTCAGTGATCTTTATGGTCCCCTTCCAGCTCATCATATTCTGTGACTCTGTGAACACTTAATGAATGCCAGTGCAAAATTAATTAATTTGGATGCAAAATGGTTGAAGAAGGCTTATTTTGCTGTAATGCTTTTTACATGCTGACAGCATTATGTTTAGGGTAAACTGAAGAAGAGTTTTGTGAAAAAGCCATCCTTAGAAACTTTTATGGATATACTTAACCTATATAGATACACTGAATTTTGGAAATATTTCTTTGCTCCTGTGTTTACGTTTGCTCTTGTTCCTTGGATATATGCAGCCACTCATCCAGGACTCCATTATGCCCACACCAGTGTGAATGCATTGAGTGCAAATACAGTCATAGCAAGAGGCAATACAATTACACCGCTCCAAATAGTTTTCTGGAGCAAATCATGCTTGATAAGATCCTCCTAGAGAAGAAAAGCAAGATGTCACGACACATGGAGCACTTGGTAAAGGGCACGCAGAAGCTTTCAGAATTAGGAAGGAAGGCAAAAAGATGTGAAAGGAAGGCAGCAGCTTTCCAGGTAAACTGTGAAAGTCGCAACCTTTTCTTTCATTCTTTATAAATAATCATAGTTTTATTGCAGATAAAGCAAAGTTGTCACAGCACCTTTTCATTAAACTGATTAGATATACAGTGGCATTTTTGTGTTTCATTGAAACTACATGATTTTTGAAACTGGACTTTGTGGGTTTTTTCTTTGCGGAGAAACTCTTTGAGGTGTTTAGCTGTCTCTGGAAAGAGGATACCATCCATTTAAGCAAGGACAAAGTCTGGAGGGAGGGATAGTATAGTGGGGCTACACTAAAAGGGTGGGAGGGGAAGCAAGTGCCACAGTAAAAGTTAAGCCCACAGAGAGAGACGATGCAGTTCCATGTGTGGGGGTTTTTTGCATGGCCAGTGACAAACTGAGGAGTAATGAAAGCAGGAGGAACAAGTACAAAGCCTCTCCCTCAGTTGTTGTCACATCCTTGTAAGGCTAGTACCACTTAGTCCCCAGTTAGTGCTTCTGCTTACCATTCATTTGTGGTTGGTCAGTCCACAAAGACAGAAGGGAGGGAAAACTGCTTGGAAGCCTTTCCCCCACCCCACCCACTCACATGTTCATAACCCTTTTGCCAATGCTGAAGATAAGCAATAATCCAGTGATTTTGTAATTAAAAATAAAAAAATCTATGTGTTTCTATGCAAATGAAATTCTCATTTGCAGTCTTTGCATAGCATTGCATCTTGATGCTACTGCATGAGGTTAATAATTGGAGCTGGCTGGCTTATTCCCACTCAGTCAACTGAAGACGCGCAAAAAAATAGTCAACAGAAAAGAGTGGCTGGGTTTTTAAAGTCTGTTTTTAATAAGGGTACCCCATGATAGTAAATTATTAAAATGCTCTTTTTCTCTGATTTTTAATTTGATGATGACCAAATGGCAATTTGACAATTTCAAGTGCTGCATGCTATGCTGGTTGACAGACCCAGAGCTCCCATCTAGCCAAGCACTTGAACAGTGAGCCTTTTTCACGCTGCACTGAGAAGCTCTGCACAAGAATATCAAGTACAGCACTGTTTAGTATTTTTCATAAAGAAAAAGACATAAAGTCAGCTCAAATAAATTGATAAATAAAATGAGTGGAGAGATTCAGGATCTGTTACAACTCAGTATTACAGCTTTGTCTTCCATTTCAAAATGGTCAGATTTTGAAAAGGGTAATTTTGAAGGTTTTGTAGGATTTCAGGAGGCCACCAAATCAGAAGAGCCTACAAGACCTTCCACATTATTGAAGTGTAAGCCCTCTAACATTTGTCTTTCACTTTGTCTTATCATCTCTATCCAGATCAGGTTAATAAAACCCCTTTGGTTAAAATATAGGCTGTTATTGTGAATAACTGCCAGATAAAATGCTTGGAGAGATAGCAGGAAAACAAAAAACAAGCCAAATCCACAGTTACTTGAAACAATTCTTTTATATGTGAAAAGATATTGTCAGTGGATATTTTGGTACGGGTTTCTTGACTGGCAGGCAATAAATTGCTATTTCAGCAGACTAACAGGTAGTCTTTGCTCGTTAGTCTCTGAGTTTGTCTTAACCTTTCAGCAAACCTCTGCTGGAATTATCTGCCCAGAGTGAATACTAAGCATTTTCAATAATGTCCTTCTGCCTTTACATTGGTGCCTTTGCGAGGCGCTGCAGCTGCAGCTTTTTTGCACCACTGAGACACCTGGTTACAACCACAACCTGACCAGCAGGACAGACATCTAAGCACCTCGGGGGAGCTATGGGGTCCCTGATGGGAGCGGTTAGGCTGTCACTATTAAATTTTTTATGTCAATAAAATTCTCTCAGGTATAAATGGAAACTAAAAAATGAAAAGACAACACTTTTGATAGAGACCCACAAAACATGAATTTTGTTTTGAGTTCAGCTTTTGGGCCTCAGAACCATGGCTAATGACCTGAATAATTCATTACCTTTAGCCCTGTAGGTAGAAGATCAAAAATCCAAGCTTCCTTCTCAAGAGGCAGAACTGCAACTGTAAAATCAAGATTCTGAAGCTTTGATTGCTAAGATAGGGTTTCAGACTGGGAAAGTGAGCCAAGAAAAGGCCATTGCAGATGCAGAGGAGCTAAAGGTCAGTCTAATTCCCCTATTTACTGGTGTTGAACTATATTTAGCACAAAATAAACCTTTTTAGGGGAACAGTTTTGAACAACTTCCTCTCCAGGGAGCATAAAGTCTAAAGAATTATTATACCTACACATGTAACAGCATTTCACACCGTGATTACCACTTGACCTTTCTTTACATTATGCCTTTTCCCAACCTTTTAGCTGTTTTAATGAGATGAAAGAACAATAAATACTGAGCTCGTTCAAGCATTTAATGGATGTGGATCTTGAGAATCAGACCTATTTGTAATACAGTAAAGGTCAAAGAGTCATCTCTTAGCACTTCAGATTTCTAAAGGCTTTGAGGCTCTAGGTAAATTGAACAACTCAATTGATACAGAAGTTCATTCCAGCATCTCGCAATATTGCAAGGTGCAAACCTTGAATCTTAAGATTATGATAGCTTTCCTATTAATATATGTCATCAGTGTTGAATCTCCTTTTTGCTCTCAGTTCAGCCTTTTTGCTCTCAGTTCAGTTATCAACATCCATGTTGGAAACAGAGGTTTACAGGGGTTAGTCTTCACCACAGAATGAATAGAAATTTCATCTGGACTCTAAAATTTCCACCTACTGTTACAAGCATGGTTTTGAAATAAAGCACCAGGCATATGGAATGATATAAACTGAAGTTCCTCTACCTTTAAAGTCTGAAGGGCTCATTCAACTCTGGCATTTTGCTACAAAATCTGATGTACATTGTGCCATTTATCAATACTGCAGAGAGAAGTTCTAATTGACTCGTAATAGATTTTAATGCCTGATTTTGATCTGTGGAAACTTCAAGTTGCCAAGAATTTTGTAAACAGTTTCCAGATACTGACCAGGAGGGAAGACTATATTGTCTGGCAGTCAAAATAGTCTCTCATTTTCTTCTATTTTGTTTCTTAAATATTTATCGTTAGATGACGCTTAATACCTTTCTAATGACCTTGTGTCTGATCCTAATTTTATTGAAGGAAAATTGATTTTTTCTACTGACATAAATGAAGAGAGGATCAGGACCTTTTTATTTCTCTGGATTATACTAATTATGGAATTCATCCTTTTGCTGATCCATATCTTATATAGGACTTAAAAATTGTCATGAAGTTTAAAGTACAAATAGGTAAACTTGCACAAAGGGGATCCAACAGCTCTACATCCTACCATCTGCTTTTCAGTGATGCTTTTCCTGTAATGGTTCCATATGCTTCTGATGAATTTGGATGATCAAAATACCCCCTTACCACAACTAGTTACTTCATTAAGCAGCTAGGTTAAACACATAGAGTGATTATTGTGAGATAATCACTTCTTTGGGCCACTTTGTTTCTAGGATGAAGTTCAGCACCTGACACTATTAATTACTGTACTCCACTGTCCATTGCTTTATTGCACTTCTGAAATGTTTTCATTGGAAATTAAAGTGTCATTTTGCACTACAATAATCTAAAACTCTTTCGTAAGACTGACAATAGTGTCTAAATACTAATCTTCTATAATATTTTGTTACAAAAAGAAAGAAAGCCCAGCAAATGAGAAGACATCTTCCAACTAAGTAATTTGTAAAGACTCTTCATAATTGATTAAAATGTGTCACACTTTAAAATTATTTTTGCTTTCCTGTTCTATAAATTTCAAACTGAAGTTTACAAGAGTTTTTTGAGTTTTACAGCATTAAGCAAATAAATGCCTTGGAGGTATTGACTTGGAATGAAGTATTACTTAAGAATGGAAGTCAGTTTAGATCAGACTCATAGGAAAAGTGAGATCACTCTGGATTCCCCACAAATGTGGCAGAGTTACATACCCGTATAGCAATAAACAAGGGTCTTATCATAAACATGATGTTGGTTGGGTTTTAAAATAGCCAGCAGTAACACTACTGTCATTTTACCAGCCATTTGTGTGCTCTGAATGTTGCCAGAGTGGTTTACAGATGAAGTTGCATATGCCATTGCCTTTTAAAATACGACCTACTCCTTTAAAGGAAGAAAACGTGCAAAGCAGGTATATATGTGATAGTGACACTAGCCAAGGATTAGGAAGAAAGATGGATTGAGCCGCTTTTTTGTTTACCTCCCTCAGCTGAAGTGCATTCTTTATTTGCTTGGTATATTTGAGCCACTCTACTCATGGTCTGATTGTGAAGGGCACACTGTTTTCTAACAATTTAGCCATCATTCAAAAGCTCTGTACTGTAGCAGTATTGATATGAAGGGGATTAAACTTCTGGAAACAGGGATGACAAACTCCTTCCTCCCTTTTTGAGGGGGGATTTGAGCAATACTGTCCTAAAGCTTATCTTCAACCTGTTCTGTTTAATTTTTCTTCCCATAAAAAACAATTATCTTGTTGCATATTTTCTTTGGGCATCAGCAAGCAAAGCATAAATAAGCATTAGGAAAAAAGAGAGACAGAAATATAATCAACTTGTGTGACTTATGTTAGATGTTTATTTAAAAAAAAATGGCACATTAGAAGCACTATGTAGTGTCAATTTAATTAAAAAAATATGTTGTGGCAAAGATGCAAACCAAGATACATTGGTAATTACATCCTAAAAATTACATCACAAGAGGTGGAGGAAATATTTAACTTGATTAGTAACTTGTCATTTATAATGTAATGCATATTGATTTTTAATCTTTGTTATTTCCACAGACAGTGTCTCTGTGTGTCCTATCTAATAAATGTGTACATGGAAAATGCCTGCAACAATTGTAGAAACACGTTTTGTAAGGATATTAACTTCTTACAGGGGCTTGTTACTGCCAATGTATAGTGCTTGATCCAAAGATTAACATCTTCATCAGTGTAATATCCTCTTTCTCTGTAATTAGACTTTGTTTAAGCAAGACGTGACAGGAAATGAGCCTGTGAGATGAGCATGAGGTACTAGGATAAGAATCAAGCAAATATAACTGACTTCAGCCCCAGGCAATGTATCTTTAAAAATGAGTATGATAATCTTCTGAATACGTAATTGCCAATGATACAGAACACCCTCCAGAGTTACTCTCTGAGATAAATTTGTACCAATGAAATCATAATCCGCTTTTAAACAGATAATTAAATTGTTTCAAAAAGTTGTGGAGACACTCAGGTTTCACTTAAAACTGAAGATAGCTGATGTAAAGTCACTGACCTAAGCCACTGTTAAGTCAAAATAAGTGTTTTGATAAAGCTTTTTTAGCTGGTGTCTGTTTACTTTCCAAACCTGAAATTAAGGAAGTACAGTGTTTTCATATAGGATATTTTCTTTTCTCCCATTCTCTCCCTTGTTGAGCCCTATGGTTTCAGACTTGAAACTGAGGAATTAAAAGAAAGACACAAATTTGGCAAAAGATGGAGGATGGTTTGACAAATTTGATATACTTGCCTATACCCAGAAACTGGAGTGAATGTTTTAGTGTTTAGGGAAAGCTCCAGTGCGTCATTGAACTGACCTTTGGCTCCTGGGTATTTCCTCTGATTTTCTAAAGGCAAATCCCCTTTAAAGGGGGAAAAACGGAGAAGCAAGGAAAAAAGTTCATGGCTCCCAAAATCTTAGTAAAAATCTTCACTCTCTTTCTGCCATGTGTTTCTTGTTTACTTTCAGCTTTGGTGTTTGGAATAGATCATGAAACACTTGCAGCTTACCTACTGCAATGGCATAGGCTACGGAGTGGCCTAATATTTCCCAGCTTTTTTGTACTGATACCCTACCTTGTCTCCTATCCTGCATTACTAAATAACATCCCATTCCTCAGGCATATCAGTCACACCACTGACCTTGGTGTCATCTGCAAATTTGCTGAGAGCGCAATCGATCCTACCATCTGTCACTGATGAAGATATGAAACCCCTGAAGGACACCACTTGTCCAGACATTGAGCCCATTGACCACAACTCTCTGGATGTGACCACCCCGCCAATTCCTTAACCACTGGACAGTCCAGTCATCAAACCCACATCTCTCCATATTAGAGAGAAGAACATGGAGAACTCAATCCAAGGCCTTACAGAAGTCCAGATAGACAACATCAACAGCTCTTCCTTTGTCCACTGATGTAGTCACTCCTTCACAGAAAGCCACTAATTTGGTCAGGCTTGGTGGAGCCATGCGGGCTGTCTCGAATCACCTCCCTGTCCTCCACATGCCTTAGGATAACTTCTAGAAGGATCTGAGCATATTCCTCAGAATTGTCTGAAAGTCATCAAGGAACATTACTTGAAGGATCCAGATTTCAACCCAAATTATGTTCGTACAAAATCCTGTGCAGCAGCTGGTCTCTGTGCCAGGGTCATCAATATAGTAAAATTCAGTGAGGTATGTATATATCAGTTCCTCTCTTGAACTGGCCCTGATGGGGGAAGTTCTCTTACTGAATTTTTTTATCATTTTAGTAAGCTCAACTTAGTGTTTTTGGGAGCACGTAACAACAACCATTGATAAAGTGGGAAGTATTTGGTGCTTAACAGTATGTACACATGTATTTATTTTTAGTAGAAAGTGGGAAAAAAGATGTAGCTGTCTAGGGCTTTTCAATTGTCATCATGATGCAACAGTTGGGAAATATTCTCCAGATGTACATGTTTCACTTGAAACATCCATCTGAGTCTGGCTGTCTGGAGTGTAAGACAGAGCTTATCATTTGCGATTCCCTTGAGCACCTGGCAGCAGGATTTCTCCATTCATCCTAGTATTATAGCATGCTATCATTTAATTACAAAATAGTAAAAAAACTTATCAATTTTATTTGAAATCTACTCAAGTTTAATGACTGATTATCACCTGTATTCTAAAACCATGAAAGTGATACATGTAAATTAATTTTAGTTGGAGAGTAGACCCACTAAGGGTGCATTCAGTTCTGCTTAAGATATTCTTCTATAAACTATAATAAAACCTGCTGTAGTCTTTAAGTCAATAAAAAAAGAAATCTCTGTGTGTCCCACTGTTGCTTAGACAGAGGAGTCTAAAGCAAATATGTGTAAAGAAAGATTACTAGGATTTTCGGAAAGTCTTTCATCAGAAGTCACTGATAATTTTTGTAATAAAGTGAGACAATGTCTTGTCTAATGTACCTGTGTTGTATGTCTTTTTCAAGGTGTATCATGAGGCAGAACCAAAATGTTGTGCGCTGGCTCAGGCTCACACTGAATTAGCAGCAGCTACAGAAAAACTGGAAGCCGTCAGGAAAAAGCTTCTTGTAAGTACTGCTTGATTAATAAGTCTCCTTCTCTAACATCTTGAGCACACCTAATTTCATTAGTTTTATTTATTTATTTATTTTTGTTAATGTATTTTAATTTTATTGATTTTATTACCTTATAGTTAAAACATTAAAGATGTACTCTCATTATGATTATCACTATTTTGCCCCAAATGTACTGAAGAACATTCCATGGTTTGGGTAGTAGCACATGAACTGTTTATCCAAAATGATTGAATTTCCTCAAAGCCACCTAGGCACACTATAACCAATAGATTAGTAAGCTGAAATGATAGTTAATATAAGCAACTGGCTGTGATTTTTACAAGGAATAAATACCAAGTGTTTATGTGAGTAATGGCCTACTGGAGTATGAGAATAACTTCCAGAAATGGCTTTAGAAGTTCATGCTTGTTTGTGTTAATGTTTGTCATTAAACAACACCAAATCCCCTTTGATTTTTTGAAAGGCCCACAAATGCATATACACATGGGCACACACATGCACATGGAATTGGAAACTTTGATTAGTCTTTTACTGACAAGTGTCTTGTGAGTTAATTATTGAATTGAAGACCACACTTGCCATCAAGTAGCTATTGAACTTTTGAGACAGATTATTTGTTGTTTAAGTATTCATTTAATGGAGCAACCACAACACAAAGCACTCTTGATACAAAGACATAGTATATTCAGAGATTGTGGGTGGAAGGAGTTTCTGCTGCAAGCTAATTACTGTTACTTAGCTTTTGAACCATTTGAAGCTTTCTTTGCTATGACATTATTTAGTTTTAAAAGACTTTGACTTGGCTTAAGACTTTTTTTGTTGGTAATATTTAGATCTGAAATCTCACAATTTAAGACATCAAGCAATAAACGAAGGCTGAACAAATCTGTAGTGTCAGGATTATTCTTACTGTTTTCTCTTGAATTAACAATTTAAAAGAATGACTGAGATTCACTTCTTTGGAAACTCTTGGAAGCCTGTGAGTTATGGTTATTTGAGAATTTCATTCTTTATTTAAGCAATTTCCTGTTTTTTCTCCTGCTGTTGTAGTATCCATTTTTTTCTTGTTCTGACGGGTTACTGATGCAGTTTTAATGGGTAAACAAAGATGGCTTTTACCATTTCACTTCCTCTTCTGACCCCTCTGACCTCCATCCCAAAAATCCCATCATCACCTATAGCAGATATTTGGCTATCATATGAAACAGCCTTAGCTGTGTGACTTTGGAGTTGCCCATTCAGGTCAAAATGCATCTGCCCTAAGGAAGCTTGTATCTATGCTAAAAGACAGCTTTACAGAAGAATCATGGTTTTTCTTTTTTTGTTTCACAAATCTCTACTGATGTATGTTTATTAAGTGCAAACACTTACTTTTAGACAAAAATAGCCTTTTAGTGGTGTTTTGGGGAGATTTTTTTTTTTTTGCTTATTTTTAATTCACAGCAGTCACCCCTGAAACTTATGGAATGTTTTATTCTTTTAATGTGTTCCTATGAGAAGAACACTAATACATCTCTCTTCTTTGACTGACAGTATCTCAAAGAAGCCTTTCCTGGTTTAGTTGACCTTGCAGTTCAGTCAGCCTCCAACTTTGAATCATCCTGTGTTTTTATATTTATTTACTTTCCCTTTCCTCTCCTCATGAATTTTTCTGAAGGTTGTTAGTAGCGATTTTTCTCTCCGCTATGCCTAGTTCCTAGTAGGAAGAATTCTGCACCACAGACAAAGTTGCAATTCCTTTGCAGTAATCTGTTTCCTGTGTTAGACCAACAGTTGTCATGATGTCATTTAATACGAATATTTTTCCTAGTCACTGTATGTTCAACCAGGATTATGTTTACATGGTGGGAGGATCCTATTAAAAATATTATTTTTATAATTGATTCATACCCTAGCTGATCCACCTGATGAACTTTTTAAAGGAACTGTAGCTGTAATTTTCAATTCTCCAGTAGATATTACTCATAATAATAAGCTCCAGAGCTATGAGCTCATATTGTTGAATGAATAACTCTATAGTTGGTCAAATTCACTGGTAGTGATAAATGCAAAATAATATACATTTGAACTTTTTATGACTACTTCTTGATTGCTGTTCATTCATTAGTGGCTTAGAGAAGATGTGGAGCTGATTGTGAAGAATTCAAAGAAAACTTTGAAGTTAGGCCAGCATTGAACTGAGAGTACCTTCTAGCCTATACCATCTTATGATTCCAAAAATAAAACAGAAATTTAGTTTGTCAAGTAATATTTTGCAAGAAGATGAACTTCAGTGGAAGAATAAAAAGGAAATACTTGTGTGTGCAGTGTATATATTATGTATGCTAAAATGTATTTGTGATCCCAAAGAGAGCAAGTGGTAAGAGAGTGTTATATAGTAAAAACTCCTGCATACATGTCATTCAGGAAAACTTACTTTTGACTTGCTTTTTGTAACTGAGTTGTGACTTAGTCCAGAATTTTGAAGAAACCAAGAAGAGATTCAGTTTTTATATATGAAAACCCTTAAAAAATTTATGCACTTACGTAATTTTGTCTTAATCCACCATTTCCTTACTGAAGATTATTGACAATTTTTTTTTTTTTAAAGGCAAATTATTCCTCTTGGTCATTTCTATATTTGCTTCTTGGGGCCCACATATTGCATGTTATCTTTCAGGAAGAATATACAGTCACCATTTTTAAGTATTCTACTATACAGCCTCTAATTATTTCATTTTGAAAGCCTCAGCTACAGTGCAATTCTTTGCATAGACCAATGCAAAATATTGTTCATTCAAGTGTCTTGCAGGTTCCAGCTAGGAATAGGATGCTTATCTAATGTGTCATGCTTTTTTCCATTTGTGAGATGATTGAAGTTACTAATTTCTACAAGCCACTTACCTATACATATGCTATATCCAAACAGGGTATGCTGTGCATAAGCTTACATACACTTGAACTAACAGTGATTTATGTATTTATTGTACTTACAGAATGAAAACCATGTAATTCCTTGTTAGCTGAGAGAATTTAAAATGTTATTTAAAGAAAATATTTGAAAGTGATTGAAGTAAGCTGATTTTAATTACATGTTTAATTTTATCTAATAGCTGTATGGCAGACTAGAAATGATCAAAGCATCTGTAAGTAGTGCATAACGTGAAGACACATGCTCATAAAAGCCATGGATAATTTCCACAGGACTCTGAGCAAGAAGGAAAAAAAATAAATTGCAGGTTAGCTTGCAAACCAGAGCTTGCAACAAGAGCTTCAAACAATCTATGAACCTTAGAAGAAAGCTTATTATAGAAGAATTATAACAAGTTGGGGATGTAATACCCACTTCACCTGTAGAATATTCTGTGACTGACAGATGCATTTCCTCTGATGGTTAGTGCCCAGTTTCTTACCTGTGAAATGTTAGAGAATGATGAGAGGCTGAGTTCATTAGTAGGGTTCAGTAGATGGAATGAGCTCTGCAGACTGATGGTCCTAAGTGTCAGTGATGGCCCTAAATGTTAGCTCAGTTGGTTAGAGCATGGTGCTAATGACAGGAAGGTCACAGGTCCGATCCCTGTACAGGCCCTTCATTTTGGAGTTGGACTCAATGATCCTTGTGGATCCCTTCCAACTCAGAATATTCTGTGACTCTGTGGCTGGTGAATACAGAACAGTATCCTTTCCTGTCTTTGCATTTTGCTTTTTAACAGAGTTGACACTCATTAACTCCGTGAAAGCAAACACTTTTGTTTTAAACGTAGTTACAGCTGGCATTTCACAGTCTCCACTTTGCTTTCTGGGCTCAGCCTTTTTCGCCATCTAAACATGCACAACATGGTCAACAGTGAATAAATTTGTCTGTAGATTTTCATCCCTATTCGATTATCCTGAACTGCACTGTTCAACCTTACATTTAAAATCAGCTCAACTTCCTCAGCTGAAAACTTGTATTAATCCATATGCTAAAGAACATGATGTACAACGTGATGTTTCATGGGGAGGAATGTTATGTACAGCAGTAGCATTAACCAGAATGAGCTGATAAAAATATGCAAATTCATCATGAAAAATTGACATTTTGCTGTCATCCATTTTTAAAGTTAGAATGAAATGCTGTATACATATCCATCCGTATTCTTCGTTTTTTCTAGAGAGTTTCACATCTAGCAAAGTTCAGCAGCTCCATTTTTCCAACCATGGTACTTCTCGATCTGCTTCATTTAATTCTTCATTCAGTATTTGGTAGTGTGCACCCCTGCCCTATGCAACCTGTTCCAGCTGGCTTGTGTCAGGCTGACTTTTAAAGGTGAGATTCACTGTGTAAGGAAGTCTGTTAAATTAGTATAAAGGGAAGGCAAACTTGGATTTTTTTCGGGGAAAAAAAAAGAACCATGCAGGCACTTCTTAGCAACAACTACCTAGATTTTATTTATCTTAGCTGCTGATAATCCTGTGTACCCCATCAGCCTGTAGAAAGCTCTTTTTCCTTATTTGAGCTGTGTGCTTACATAGTCCATAAACACAGGAATTCTCATAATATTAAACGAAAGTCACTCTCTCTATATGGACATTCTTCTGTATCTCTCTATCTGGGCTGTCAGCTGACTGTATCCAGTCTGTGGGAACTTGCCCCTTTTCTTCAGTTCATTTCTTGCCCTTTTCCCTTCCAGTCATTTATTTCCTTCTCTCTTTCTATCTTCCTCTATCAGTTTTCTAAAGAATAAACTTGAAGGCAGAACATCAGATATTAGTGACCTCTGGTCCTGCTTTCATGGATTCTCTGTGCTCCCTGACTCATAATTCAGCTTCCTTCTGTTGGCAAAGAGAGAGAGGGAAGGAGAGCTGTACATATTTTTCATATGGAAGTTTTTGTGGCCAGCAATTCTCAGTGATGATAATTGGTCCAGCAGTTAGTAATAAATAATAAATCTTCAGTCTAGGCAGCACAGTTAAACTGATCTCCTTTCACTTTTCATGGGTTCCAGAATATATCTTTAAATGAGAAATGA